ACCTGAATAACAGCTTGGCTGTGTAAAGAATTCCAGATTAGAAATCAATTATACTGAAAATGATGGAGCCATCATGTTCTACTGCATGTTCTATATTCCAGTATATTAGGAAGCCAAAACCACTCAGACTCCTGATTTCTGTATCTGACCTGTTATCTCTCTTTGTAAGCTTGTAGGTGTATCCCTTTCTCCCCAGCATACCGAAAATTCAGGGTCCTGGTACGGGTCTATCTTTATCCACTTGGCTGAACATCTGATGACCCCTTCTGATATGGAGACCAATATCCTCCTCTTCCAAGAAAATTTTTTCCTGATGATTTTCCCACTTGAACTTTTTCTTTATTCTCTTTCTGCAACTCCTTCCTATAAATAGATATGGAAACCCTGGCTGATCCTTTCCTTTTCTTACCTCTTCAACTCTATTATACATTTCTTCATCTTCTAGAAGACTCTTTCACCTTTCCTTTGACATTATTTTTGTTCAAATACCACTTCAATTAATCATGATCCAAGAACACTCAAATAGTAAACCAATAAGAAACATGTTAAAGACTGGTCTTCAAACATCATGGCCAGTGACATCATGTTTGCCTATGATCTTGCTGACATAAAACCACACCCACATCTCAGTGGCCCCCAAATCATTCAGCAGAGCTTCCTTAACTGTGAACTGTTTGAGGTTACCAGCTTGAGCACTAGTGATTCCCTACCACACCCCACCCCCACCCCTGTACAAGCTCTGAAAAGCTGCAGGGATCTCAGCAGGAATGGGAAGAACCAGCTCAACCTTGGCATAGTGTGAAAATGTAGTCAATTGAGGCTTCAGCTTCTTGGAGTGAAGTCATAGCAGTGTTTACAAGTGCAGGGGCCCTCTCCATGAGGTTACAAATTGGGCCATGGTTCTAGGATACACTCCTTCACCTTTCTTTTAATAATTCTGTTAATAGTTTTGCTCTGACCTTATTTTTTTAAACTTTTAATACTTTTTTTGTTTTCTAAATTTTTGTAGTATCCTGTTCTTATTTCATGGATACAATATTTCTCTTATTTCTGAGAAAATGTCTAATTTTTTTCCAAAATCTTCTCTCTAAATTAAATATTTCTTTTTACAATTTTTTTATTGATTGATTTTTAAAGAAAGAGGAAGGGGGGAGAGAGAGACAGAGAGAGAGAAACATCTATTTGTTGTTCCACTTATTTACGCACTCATTGGTTAATTCTTCTATGCGCCCTGACATAAGATAGAACCCACACTTTGGATCAAGATGACTCTCTAACCAACTGAGCTACCTGGTCACAGCTGAATATTTCTTTTAAATTGCTTTTTTTCCTGTTTCTTTTTGCTTCCTTTCCTGTTAGACAGTTTCCTCATGTTAGTAACCTTTGGTAGTCCTCATTATTGATAATCCTCATGACTAAGAACAAACTGCAAGTGCTGAGTCCAGGAGCAGGCGAGTTTCTGTGTAGGATGACCTGGTTAGGCCATCTGCTGGGAAATCCCTGTTTTTAGCATCTTTAGTTCTTTCCTCCTGGGCTAGTCAGGTTCCCTCCGGTGAGATGTTTTATCTCCTTTCTGGAAGATAAAAGGCTGGCTGTCAGTTTCTAGAAGCCAAAGGAAGGTAGAAGGCTGGGGAATGAAGAGGGTCTTCATATAATCCAAGAATATCTCACATCTCCAGACCCTTAGTTTTTCCCTCTGCAGAATAAATCTCCTATGTCCAGCTAAAGGGGAGAGGCAGTCACCAAGAATCACGGAAGAAAGCTGTGGCTGGTGTGGCTCAGTGGACTGAGCGCCGGCCTGTGAACCAAAGGGTTGCTGGTTCGATTCCCAGTCAAGGTACATGCCTAGGCTGCAGGCCAGGTCCCTGGTTAGGGGTGCGAAAGGCAACCACACATTGAAGTTTCTCCTGCTCTCTTTCTTCCTCTCTTCCCCTCTCTCTAGAAATAAATAGAAATCTTTAAAAAAAAAAAAAAAAAAAGAATCATAGAGAAAGGAAAGGGATCTAGATATCTAACCACATTGACTGCTTTCAAACAATTCTTGTATTTAATCACGTCTGATACTCTTTCCCTTCCCCTACCCCTACATGAAGTAATAATATGGTGACACCAACACCTACATTTTAAACTAGGTCACTCATCTATCTATTCCTGGTTTACAATGTTTTCTTGCTGTTGTCTCTTTTCCCTTTCTCCCTATCCTCATAGTCAGCTCTTGTAGATTGATTCCTTTTTAAAAATCCTCCATATCTTAACTTTTGTGGGGTTTTGGTATAAAGTAAAATTAGGGACATCCACTCAATCCATCATTTTTACCCAGATCTCTAGGAAGTCTTCAAAATATTTTGAGTGCCATCTTTATATCACATAAAGAAAAAAACCCAGAAAGAATAATCTATAACCATATAAAAGAAAGGGTAAAAAAAGACTGCAGATGTAATTAATGTGACTAATCAATTGACCTTAAAATAAGAAAATTATCTAAGTTGGCCCAATGTAGTTATATCAGCTTTTAAAAGCAGAGCTTTGTCCCAGCTGAGGGCAGTGGTCAGAGATTCCAAGCATGAAAAGGGTGTGATGCATTGTTGTGGAACCTGAGGTACAAGAGCCCCATACAAGGACTAGACAGGGTTTGGGAGTTCAAAACTCGCAGTATTATGAGTTTCCACCACCAAAAACCCATAACCCAAAACTTGCTGCACTTAAAGGAGCACTGAGGGGCCTCCTCATTGATCTGGTGAGGAGACAGTTGTCCGTCTCAGAACTGCAATCAGGAAGAAGCACAAGGAGGGAGGCATGTGGGTCAGAGAAGGGAATGAAGGAGAGGCCATGGCTCAGCAGGAGAAATGCTAAGCCTGGAATGGAGGTCACTTAATCCAGTGATTTTCAAACTTACTATTTTTATTACTTTTTAAGCTACCAGAACCTTTGTTCAAAAAAAGCTCTGACCCAAAAACCCAGCTTGGAGGCAGGCAGAGCAGGTCACTTGTCAAGTCAGGTGGCTGGGGAGAAACGGGAGGTTCCGTAAGGTGCACACTTGAAAAAGATGGGCCAGGTAGGGCTGATCCCAAATTCCACAATATATCAGAATCACTCTAGGAGCCTTTTCCCAACTGCATGTGGAGACTTCAATGGGACTGTGACAGGCCTGGAAATACACATTTTTAAGACCCATCCTTCACAGAAGTCAGTTTGAAGGGACCCTCCTCCACTGGCCAAATCTGGAACAATCTGAGCTTCAAAATAAACAATAATAGTAATGAATTTTCACTCTGAATAAAATACGAATTCATTAGTCCATTTGAATATGCAAATAAATGGACATATAAACAAGTAGGGGAAAGTTCTTTACAGCAGATTGACAAATAATAAATGTAGAAGGAATTAAATCATCACCCTTCAGCAACTGTGACAGAAATAACTAATTCTGTTAAGAATCATCAGTGGGTTCTGTCTTGGTCTGTTCTAGCTGTTGTACCAAATATCACAAACTGGGTAGCTTATAAAGAACAGGAGTCCTGGCTGGGTGGGTCAGCCAGTTGGAGCATCGTCCTGTACACCAGAAGGTTGCGGGTTCAATTCCTGGGGATGGGACATGTAACATACCTAGGCTGCACGTCCCATCCCCAGTCAAGGCACATATGGGAGACAACTAATTGATATTTCTCTCACATCTCTCTCTCGCTCTCTCAAATCTATAAAAACATATCCTGAGGTGAGGATTAAAAATAATAATAACAGAACAGAAATTTATTTTCACAATTCTGGAGGCTGGGAAGTCCAAAATCAAGGCACCAGAATGGTCAGGTGAGGGCCATCTTCCTGGTTCAAATCTGATACCTGTTCACTGTATCTTCACATGGTGGAGGGGAAAGGCAGCTCTTTGGGGCACTAACCCTATTCATAATGGCTCAAATATCCTGACCTAAGTACATCCTAAAGGCCCAAGCTCCTAATACCATGAAATTGGGCATTAGGATTTCAATACTATATGAATAGAATGTGCAGGGTAGTGGGGGACAAACATTCAGACCATAAACTAGTTGATGAAAGTTTGATGAACAGCATGTTTGCACAGTATCAGTCTCTCCCCCATTGGACACTTAATAATTACAAAGAGGACAATAGTAACTCAGCAGTGGAGAAAGTCTGCAGATGCCATCTTAACCAGGTGATCACTGTAGTCATCACCTGCAATGGGTAAAGCCAACATCAGTCCCTCCTGAGGTAATGCACTGAGGACATCACATTTCCATGGTACACCCAACAAAATGATAACCTGCATAATGAGGAAAGATCAAAGAAACCCAAATTAAGGGAGCTTCTACAAGATAACTGGCTTCAAGTCAAAATGTAGTTTGTGGACATTTTCCTTTAAAAAAGAGGGAGAGGGAAGGATAAAACATTCAGGTAACAAACAAGGCTAGGGCCCAAACACAGATCTCGAGGCTGACTCATCAAGCAGCTTATTCGACTGCAACAGCAGCACCAGGGCGGGACCGTCTCATGCAGGTGAGGCAGGGCCTCGTCATCCACACCTGCTACCCACAACTTCTCAAAATTCTGGGTGAAAAGAGGCCTGGTGCCTTCCTGGCTTCACAGCTGTGTTCACGCTGCTGTTGAAGGTGAAACTGCCAGCTCATGGGAGGATGAAAAGCCCATGCTGGCATGGCGCACACAGTGTTGTGCTCTGATAATCATGGCAGGCCTGTTTCTGAAAATCTAAGTGCACATGAAATGTCTATACCCAGAAGCCAGCTGCACACAAGATGTGGAGAATCTGGGCCCAGTTTACAGTGACATCTCCAACATGGACAAGAACCTAGGAGGCCAAATGCCCTGACCTCCTAACCTCAGGAGTACCAGACCAGGCCTTTTGTCTACTCTGAAATTCTCAACTGAAGACCTGAAGGCCAAGGGCCACCTAAATTGGCAAGGCTGAAGGCAACCTGAACAGCAATCCATCAGCACACAAACTCACTGTTTTTTTTTTAACTCACTCAGGGTGAAAAGGCTTTTGTTGCAGGAAACACCTCAGGACTTGTTTTCTGCAGGTTCAAGCACCAACATACAAGGTACCTAGCATGAGGCTGGAGAGACAAAGAGTGGGAGTTAAGACCCATGCCTGACTCAGGACACAATTCTCTCTACTAACTGTGCAGTCAGGTAGGTGCTGGAGGCAGGACTGGGCACCGGAAGGAAGAAGGAGGTAGGAAGTTGGTCAGGAAATCCTGCACAGAGCAGATGGCTTAAATATGAACTAGATGGGCGCCTACATGTAGAGAGACACTCACTAGTTTGTGGGGAGCAACTGAGCCTGCGATGGAAACACTATGCTACAACCTGGCATGATGGCAGCCAACAAGATTCTCCAAATTGGGTTATGAACAGAACCCCCAGTGGGTTCCCATGTCTGTAGATGGCACAAAGACACAACCAGGGTGGCTGCCCTCAGAGGGCTGACACAGTTGGGGGTGGGAGCCACTCCTAAACACCACAGACATTCTGAGTGATGAGCAGACCCACTGTTGGGGAAAAATAAAATCTCCAACAACTGAATCTTCAAGCAGCCATGAAGGGAGTTGCTCCAATATGGTATAAAGGTATGACCTGCATGTATACTGTAAATTTGAAATCTCTTCATAGGAGTTGCCCTACCCCAACCCTCCTCTCCTCCAACACAAAGAAACTATATAAGAGAATTTAGAATTATACACACTTTTTCCTTTTCTTCCATTTTTCCATGCTTGAAAAGTATAAAGATTGTGGCTCTAAGATGTTAAAAATCTTTGTATCCAAAATTGAAGTCTGGTACATTATACTGTGCTTTAAGACAACCTACATCACTCCAAGGTCCGCATTGGGAGCACCCCTCACCTACCCCAGGATAGGCAACTCTCCAGTCCAGGGCAGAGCCTGTCTCCTGGCCTCCTCTGAGCAATGCAAACAGCCTGAGGGAAAAGGTTCACAGAACTAACAAAACAAACTTCCCAAACAAGCTATGAAAAGTGAAGCCTGCTGGAGAAAAATAAATAAAACAAACTGCACTGAAAATGTCAAGAGAAAAGAAATAATGGTGAAGAGAGGAACAGATTTGCATTTTTTAAATGCAAATTAATGGTGGGAAACTGCTGAAAAAGTCTGAGAAGAATCTAGAAAGAGGGTCAGCTGAAGATTAGCAGTTCAGCCCCTCAAACAGTGTCCCAGAAGGCCAGTGCTGGGCAGCAGCAGCTGAGCAGGGTTGCCTAGGGCTCCTCTAGCTCTCCAGCACTCTCAACCTCAGGCCTAGAGGCATAAGTTCTTTCCCAGAATTCAGGGGTTGGGCACGCAATCCTAGCAAAATCAAGAGAGGCATCTCAAACTTTTCTTCACTACAAAGTACTACAAAAAAATAAATGTACAGTCTCCCTTATGGACTATTTCTCTGAACTTCAACACATACCTAAACATCTTTATATAGAATGTTGTGTGTTTCTACAAAAAACAAGCAACATTTACAACCTGATTCTGATGCTATCATCCAGCTGGGGTGGATCGGACGGGGGCGAGTGGCACCAGATGGCCACGGGAGGCTCTGCAGCGCCCTTTCACAAAGGAGGGCTCCAATTACCACTAGGCTCTGTGCCCCACAGATGACCTAGCCAGCAGGCACGCGGAGATGCTCACAGCTGCCAGCAAATGCAGCTTTCTCGGTCCCCACACCCATCTCTGAGGCACCCCCAGGGCCCAGGGATACCTGACAGACCCGGTTAAAGTTGATGATTTTAAGGAAGGCAAGAGGGTGAAGACTGCAAAACCACAACACAGACTAAGGAAGGAGCAAGGGCGGGGCTGGGCAAAGGCATATGAGCCGGGGCTTCTCAAACTTGAAAGTGCATGCAAATCACCTGGAAAACTTGTTAAAATAAATTCTGATTAAGCAGGTGTGGGGTTGAGACACCTCCACCCCCAGATTCTATATCTCAACAAGCTCCCAGGTGATGCAATGCTGCCCATGACAGGCGTGTGGGCAGTGCTTTGAACAGAGAGGATGTAATATGCCTAAAAGAAAGCAACAACACTGAGAAAACCACATTAAGGCAAGTATTGGGGAAAAGGCCCACCCATCTTTACCACGCGTTGATTTACAGAGATGCAGTCAGCTTTCTTGGAGGAATGATTTAACTTTGGAGTTTTTTCATTACTTTCATGTGCCCCACTAGAGTCTCACAGGTTATTTTTATTCCCATTTCACAGCTGTGGAAGCTACCCCAACCTAATGGTAAACGAAGCTGGGTTCCCTTCCCCTTGGGCGTCTTCTCAGACCGCTGGCCTCCTCTGACTCTTGGCAGAAACACATAACCCAGAGCAGTGATACAGAAGCCCAGCAGACAATGGGAGGAAACCCACAGGCACAGGAGGCCCTGGGGATGGAGGCTGGGTGCGGAAAGGCACATAAAGGGCCAGACACCCACCCTGAAGGGACACAAGCAAAAGGATGGTTTTGCTTCCTGGAATCTTTAACAAAATAGACAAAATTTAAATCTGCTCTTGGCCCCCCAAGGAGGAGGAAAGAGGATATTTAAGTGTAGAGGGTATCACTGTCTTACTGTGTTTGTTTTTACTTTTAACATCCTGCCCTCACTTTGGCTGGATGTAAAATAAAGAGCTTTACTTCCTTCCTCCCAGGTTTAATTTTACCAGAAAGGGAATGTAGCATTTCCAAGAAAAGAGTCAATGCCAAGGTTGGAGGCAAGAGTATTTATCAGTGGTGCCACACACAACCCCTGAGAACAGCCAGTGGTGAGAGGGTCAGGGTGGGTGGGCTTCCATGGCAAACTGCACACACCTGCAGAGGTGATCACTGCCACCACCAACCCTTCAAGAACCAGAGGAAGAAATGCCCTGGAGGAGAGATGTCCTGTGTTAATCCTACCTGATGACATTTCTTCCAAAAGATACCCTGAATTGGCATGAGGGGTTCAGGGTAATGACTGGCCATTTTGGAGTTAGATCCGTAAGAACTGAGAGTCACACAACTAAAAAGTTTCCAAAGTTCACCTTAGCATCACTTCCATTTTCCAGAGACCTAAACCCACTGAAATGAATGGCTAAAGTTGCCCAGGAATCCAATGGCACAACCAGGGCAGACCCCACCCCAGCCTTCTACTTCCGTGTGCTTTTCCAGAACACCATGCTGCCTCAATCATGACTTTTCCCAGCCTCATCTTGGGCCAACTAAACAGCATCTGTGTTTCAATGCATTTGACAGTGAACTTAGTTCTTTTTTTGCGGAATCTGGAAAAACCTTTGCTGAAATAAGGACACTCCAAGGGGCCACCCTGTCCAGGGCTGGGACTTGCTTCCTAATTTGAAAGACTAGGCTAATGGGAATCAGATAAAACAGCTGCCAGGCTGATTTCAAGATGAATGGTTTTTGAAAGGGTGAAATAAAATGCTAAACACAGAGCAGCAGTGAAAGCTCCGAATTCTCATACAAAACAACTTCTGTGTCAAAGGCAGGTGACTATTACAGACTGGCTGCAGTGTACAAAGCAGGAGCTGGGTTGGGGCGGGCACACGTCCAGAAAGGGATGCCAGAGAGTGGTCCTCAGCTACACCTGCGACTTCGCACTTGGGTGAAATTGGGCCCCTAGGAAGAAGCTCATTATGCCCACCAAAAACTAGGAGATAAGAGAGGCATTCAGACACAAAGGGACAGAGTATGGTTCCTCTCCACGGGAAAAAATTTCTACAACCACACAGACAGCAAAATCAAAAGCACAGGTTTCTCATCCACCCCTACCCCTAAATGCTAAGAACTCTTCCTCCACAGACATCATGTAGAAGGACCAGGAGGAAGTGTGCCTGGGAGTGGTCTTTTCTGCCAAAGACCAGGAGGCCACTGCTCCCACAGGTGCCTGTGCAGCTCCCCTCTCCCCTCCCTCCCTCCCAGGTCTCTCTCCCTCCCTCTCCCGCACACTTTCAGTGGCCACAAACAAGTGAGAACTCCCTCTGTCCCACTTCAAATGTCACCATCATTCTGATCCAAAAATGGGCCTAGACCCTCTCTAAACAAAGAGAAATCTCAGCACCACTGGGGAGATGGGGTTACAGCTAGGGGAACTGAGGGTGCAGCAAGGGCACTGCATGCCTTTGGCTCAGTGGGAAGATTCATATCTTAAGGGCTTCCGCTGATGCTATGAGGCTGCTGCCTGCCCAGTCTGCCTGCTTGTCTGCCATTCAAGAAACCAGAGAGGGCAGAACAAAGGAATATGGCTGTGGCTCAGGCAGCGGGGGAGGTGACAGGCCAGCCTGCCAGCAAACAAGCTTTTCTGCAGATGAGTGCTCAAGTGAGAAACAGAGGACACTGAGCTGAACACTGAGGTACAAAAGAAAGCGGGGGCCTGCGAGACTTACAACAACCCAGGCACGCGCCTGGCCCCCACCCAAGGGCGCAGCTGGGCCGGGATTGCGCAGGCAGAACCCAGTCCCAGAGGCAGCGGCAGGTGGCTGACAACACAAGCACAGGACACTCCTGCTCCTTGTCCAGCTGCTCTAAACTCTTACCCAGGGGGTTCCAAGCACAGCATGGGGACTTGAGAGGGAGGAAGGAGGATCCTGACAGAGGTACCCACAAAGGGTAACATCCAGAGGTGAAGGGGACACTGGGGGAAGGCAGGGGGAAGGCAGGGGGAAGGCAGGACCCAGGCTGGGCAGCCCACCCAGCATCAGAGAACACATGAGGGGCCCTGGAGTGGCTAAGATCCGTCCACCAAAGGACTTTGATTAAGCATAATAAGCTCTCTGCGCCAGCAACAATAGCAACACTGGCCACCCCCTCTCCTCTTCCCCTTCCCCCACAACCGATCCACAATGGGAAGCAGCAGGAAACCGGGGCAGAGCCCATGAATAGCTCCACTGTCAGTCCCCAGGCCCCACCTCCTCAGCCCTACAGGTCAATCCTAGCTGCCACCCCACCACAATAGAAACTTCTGTGTTGCCAAGGCCCCAAGCCCACAAAACAGAGCTGTGAGCATGGGATGACCTGGACTTCTCACAAGGCAGCGTGAATCAGCAGTGGTGGGAGAGACAGACCAGGGGCACAGGCCTCAAATCCAGCACGGCAGGGAAGGTCATGTTGGCTACCTTTCTGTTGCAGGGACGGGAGCTGGGGGGCGGCGGGGGGGGGGGGGGGGCGGGTAATCAACCAATTATAAAACCCCCCCGGTTCTTGCCCT